TTTTTTTATATAACAGCAATGGTATATTACAATATTTTATTTATATTTTATTTTGTATCCACCAAGGGCTGCGGGTGATCTGCAGTTTCACCCTTTCCCAAGCTGGAGACATTTTCCTTTTCCCACACTTTCCTTGGCTGAACAATGACACAACCTTAATATACCTGATGCATCTCTCTATTTTATTTAATATGTGTTTGTGTGAATCATGTATTTTCTTTCATTCTATTCATTCTGGGCATGGTCTTCATCCCAACTATGTGTCATTGTTAATACCAGTTTACAGGTTGTTATCCTTGCTATTATCAGCTTGAATACATTACAGTTAAGTTCTAATTCAATTTAGCCTTTTGTTTATTTTACTTTATTCCTCTTGTATTTATATGTATTCAGTCAGGTCTGTTTCCAGCCCTTGTTAAACTTCTACTTTGATCTCTAATTTTTTACTTGGTGAGGGATTATTATGTTCTTCCTAATCTGAACTGCTCTCTTCACCTGAGCTGCTATCCTGTTCTGAGTCACTGTCTTCTATGTTTGTTAATGAACATTTCTCATCAGGTGTTAATTTTGCTTGTTTATTCTCCATTTTCAAAGATTTTGCTGGGCCGCCACCGGCACGCTTGACTTCAGAGTGGTTTACTGATACGGCCTTCGACTTCACCCTAGAGGTGAAGCGGTATCAGTTTTGTGAGACGTTCTCCTTTGTCACCAGTACGTGAGCCTCAACAAAGAAAAATAAGAAAAAATGGAAGTAGTTCAGCAGCGTATTGTGCTGTAAAATCAACTTACTTCCAGACACATACACATATAGACATTTGTGGGCTTTTACAATTTGTTACGAAGTATTTGACGGCTACCTCTAAAACCAGTCTAAACACAGTTCCTTTTGGCGAACTTAAACCTATTTTACTTTGTCAAAATATTTCAATTTGTCAAAACGTGTTTCAATTTGTCACGAAGTAATTTTGGCTACTTCTAAAACCAGTCTAAACGTATCTTACGTTTCTTTAAACAAAATAGTGTTTCTCACCCTCAGACGTCTCACTGATGGTTCGGATCGCCGGACTGAATCCCACCGCCGTGGACCAGACTAAAAGCACCGGCCTGGACCCGAATTTTAACGTCCCAGGTCTTTCGGCCTCGTCTAAGAGGGCTGTGCACAGACTTCGGTGCTGGCTTCCCACGGCGTCGGGAATCAGTGTTGGATCCTGGAACAGAGTCACAGATAACAGTTCTGATGTTTCTGCCCCGGCTCGAAGGACCAAAATAAATGTCAAGAGATTTATTCTAAATGACACTTCTTCAGCTGAGAGTCTAA